AGTTCTAACAACAACATCACGAGTCTCTTTCCTCAGAGGTATATAAAGGTCAAGAATCTGCGCACAGTTGAGTCTTGAAGCATCTCCCCGCCTTCTGGCCGACGTATACACAAACAACCAGTGCACGGGGTTTTGTTCTTTGTTGTTGTGCTTGTTAAAATCAAAAGCAAGTCCTACAGCACTCTGGTCCTATTCTCTGTGGGAACCTAAGGGTTCTTGGAACCCTGATTTTGCCAGCTGTAGCCTGAGGTGCTCAGATGACGCATCCACAGTCCTTCTGGCTCTGAAAGTCCATGACTAGTTGACATTAAATGAATTTCCCATTTCAGAATACCAAGTTTCCTCACCTAGTGTGAAGTAAGTCACTGTAGCAGTGGATGGCATGGTTCTACTTAATGAAGCTACTGGACTGTTCTTAATGACTTTATTTTGTCACCTTATAAGCAACTCACTTTATCCTCCTTTCCCAGTTCAGATGAATCTACTAGTAACTTCAGGCTCACAGTCTGGAAGCATCTACTATTACTGAGCAAACAATGATTTCTAACCCTTCAATGGACTGAGACTTTGGCAGCAGTGAGCAATCTTACAGTGCGGGGCAGTTGTTGTACTGGAGCGATGTGGTTACGAATACTGCAACATGATAACTCTCACCCAGAAAACCCACCACACAGTCCAGAGCGAAGCCTCCGCCCCTGTCCCAGGGTTCTAACTGGAGTTGACTCTACTTCAAAGAAAGGAAAGCTTGTTTGGCCAAATACCCATGGAGCATTGGTTTCAGGAATGTGACATGCTGTTAAACCACACCATGTAAGCTTGCGGTCACTGAGATTTTCCAAGGATGAAAGTTTCACTTTTCAAAAAAAACCATGGCACCATGTAAGTCAAAGAAACACAAGGTAGATGGTATCCAGAAGCACTCTCTCAAAGAACACTTACTATGTATGAGCAGATTCTGGAGGAGGGCAATAAGTTATGCAAATGGACTAAATGTACTTGATTAGAATGATGAAAAGCATTTCCTAACCTTGAGTAGCATTTCAGGAGGTAGAGAGAAGGGAATGGTGGGGTGGTCAGTTCTATATCAGTGCATGGCACTGTATGAAGACTGAGAAAGAAAGAGAAGTATGCTACACACCTAAGGTACAGTGAGTGGACCGCATGGTCGGCATAAGACAGCTGGGGAAAGCTGTTGGGTATTGGAGCAGACCAGAAACTGCAGGTAGAAGTCATGTGTCACAGGCCTCTGTGCCTGCACCTCACCTTCATCAAGGCAAGGACTTCGGAATGAGCAGAGAGAGTAGGGGAGGGGAGCCTGTCTCCCTGGATTGTTCTTAATGTGTATTTCAAAGTAAAGAAGGTGTCTGAAGAACTGACCTACCACAGAATGAAAGCTCAGGGCTTTGCCACTGTTTAGCTTTGGAAGAGAATGGGAGAGCCGTTTAAGCCAACTTCACCACCCGGCTTCTGTATGAAGGCTTGCTCCCTCACCAGATCACAGGTTTCATCACCAAAGAACTCTAGCTGCTTCTTCACATGGCGGCATTGACACCCTCCTCCCCAGCCAACCTCCTCATCATGCTTTGTTCAGAAGAGCAGGTCTGAACCTATATTTCCCACAGTTTTGACCTGTTGTTTGTGGGAACCACCACAACCTCTCTAACATCCCCAGAGTTCTTGCTTTCTTTATAATATTTTCTTTTATTGTTGCCAGGTGTGGTGCCCACCTTTAATCCTAGTGCTCCAGAGGCTGAGGCAGGCAGATCTCTGAGTTGGACAACAGCCTGGTCTACACAGTTAGCTCCAGGCCAGCCAGGGGCTACATGGTGAGACCTTGTTTCAAAACAAACAAATAGACTTATTTTATTTTTATTATGTGTATTGGGTGGTGTGTGTGTGTGTGTGCTCGTGGAGGCCAGAAGAGGTCATCAGATCTCCTGGAGCTGGAGTTACAGATAGTTGTGAGCTACCCAGTGTAGGTGCTGGGAACCACACTCAGGTCCTCTGCAAAACCAGAACGTGCTCTTAATGACTGAGCCATCTCTACAGCCCCCACGGTGATCTTTCTCAAGGGATGGTTTCAGAATTGAGTTCAGGTCATCTAAACACTGACTAGGTTGCCCATGTGTTTGGAAAACTGGGGTAACATAGCATAGACCAAAATATGGGCAGTGTGGGAAATACTGGAATCCCTAGTCTACAAGTTGTTGGTGGCCACCTCTGGAGTCAAATGATGGTCTAGGTGAACCTGGAGTGTGTGATCCCTTCCAGAGGGGCCAGGCCTGTTGTGGAGTACTTGCTATGTTACTTGGCACTTTTCAGCTACTGACTATCTAGGGCTCAACGCAGCCTTGAACCAGAATGTACCAACTTTGGATTTCATGGTCACTGGTGGAAAGGCCACAGAACCCCCAGCTTGGCATAGAAGGGAGAAGTCCGCCCCCTTGTGGATCTCTGAGGGTTTGCAAAGTGCAAAAGCCCTGAAACCATGCAGGGTATGTTCGCCCATCGCTTGTGAAAGAGTGCTGTAGCAGAGGCAGAAGGAGTAGTGAGATACAGGAAAGGAAGTTAGGAGATAGTGACCCCTCAGTTGGTTGCAGAAAATTGGAAAGATAATAGGCGAATGTTACTAGCTGTTAGGTAAGGGTTAGGGATGGGCAGGACAGGCATCAGGAAGTCTTTTCTGATTCCAAAACTCCTGGGGTATCTCCTGATCTGGGTCTCCAGAGTGTGCTAAGAGGAGGCTATATAGTCCTTCAGAACATGGATGCTCTCCCCTTCACATCCCTGCCCTGGTAATGATCTGTGGTCCGTGGCACCACACCTCAGACTGAAGACCAAAGCACAGAAAACGACAAGGGTAAACCCTGCCAGAAGGAGGCAGAGGGCTCAGTTCAGTGTGGTAAGCCCACCTACAGCTACAGGGAGTGATTGCACCCCCCCAACCCTGTATGGAGTCTTGGCAGCCCCAAGGGCTGTTTTCTATAGCCACAGCCCTCTTTCCACAGTTTTGGCCAACTCCTCATCGTTTCTCCATCATGTGGGCACTGACCCACATGCACTTGTACCATAAACATGCTTGTCCCAGATAGGTGTGACCCAGACTCACTCTACGTCCTTTACAACAGCCCACAAACACCAGCCTCACAGCACACACCTAACCTGCCTTCACTCAGCGCCCACAGCATTATCAGAGACTGAACTGGAGGTGGACTTTTGAGGTGGATTCTGGACAATATAACTGAGCTAAAGGTAGTCTTGAGAAGCCACGAGCACCTTCCTCAAAGTTCTCCACATTAAAAAAAAATATTAAGGTGGCTTTTTAAGAAGTTGAATTATATGTTAAAATGGCTCAAGTTTCTTATAGAACTCAGCTGGTGGGGATTCACAGTCTTCAAGTCACCAAAGATATTGTTGTTAAAGGCTAATCACCCGCCAACAAAATGCAAAGTGTTGAAATCTTCCTAAAATGGCCTTGTATAAATAATCTGTAATCATGATGCCCTCAAGCTAGCTCAATCTATCTGCAAAGATCTAGAGCAAATGTTATGGAGAGGGTGGACCACCTTTTCATAGTAGAGAATACTGCAGCTTTGGCAGCCCATCTCATTTCTGTATGGTGCAGTCTAAGGCCACAATACCGTAAGGCATTGTGGGTTATTCAATAAGCCCTCTAAATATCAGAAGAATCTAGCAATAAGTAGTTCTACCCAAACACTAAAGTCAGGTAGAATATGCAAGACTAATTGTCAACAGAACGCTGTTCAAACACCTATTTCAGACCACCCGGTTTCTGTGGTATTGCCAAATTCTCGACTTTTAATGAAAATTTTAAAGTCCAAAACCTACAAGCCGTCAGAGGTTCAGTAAGCAGGTTGTACCATTTCAAAACGGAGAATGTGCTTGCATCAGCAAGTCACCGTGGCTAACCTTTCTGGATTGAGTCCGGCCTTCAGTTTAGAAATGTGGCCATGCCAGGGTCAGGACTGCGGCAAACCTGTGCTTTCCAGGAGGTTAGCCAAGGTTCACAGGGTCATGACTGGGCCATTTTATCAGTCATGTCAGGCTCACACCCTATTGCCAGAGATAGATAAAAACTTTATCTGTCAGTGAACTAAATCTGCTCCTACTGCCTCATCTTGACTAAAGAAAGCCTGGGCTCAGCTTATCTAAACCAGCCTTGCCTTTTCCAGCACGGTTTCCAGAAGCAACGTCTAAGTAAAGGTGACACACGAGCAGTTTTCTTTTTTCTTTTTTTATTTCATTTTGGTCAAGGACTGTCCATAATCAGAGTGACTGGCTCTGTCTTATCTAAAACATCAACTTCAAAGAAGAGTTCTGCCTCTATATGACGTGGATTCATTATGCTAACTTAGATGTTAGACATGCTGACCCTGTTACACTAGAATAATGCTTCCTGATGCACCACCATCATTACCTTCCCAGAACCACATTCTCTACTGTAAAGCCAACAACCAACACCGAATAACTAAAACCGCCCTGGGTTCAACTCCCAAAAGCACAAAAGGAAAAGAATCTAAAATTAACTTTGAGCTGGCAACAGGGAGCTGTACCTCAGTGATAAAGGGCTTCCTCTACACCTGTGAGGCCTTCGATCCAACCCCCAGCACCATAAAATGTAAGTTAATAAATTTAACTTAATTCGCTTTGATGTTTCAAAATATGGACTCTCAACTACCTTAGAAGAATTTGCAAAAATGCCTTTAGACAGTACACACATAATACATATTTTCTAACATGGAGGGGGAGTATGGTTTCACTCTAAATCATTTTAAATACACAAAGTACAAACATCGAGCCAGTCAATTTTTCCTAACAGGAATTTCTGTTGGTGTGCTTTGTTCTTTTGAGACAGTATCTCTGTAGCCTAAGCTGGCCTTGAATGCCTGTTCTTCCTGCCCTTACCTTCCAAGTACTAGGATTACAGCCATGTACTATCATGGCCAGCTTGCCAACAAGAATCTTAGAAGCAAGAAAAGCACTTTTTAATTTTACTTTATTTGGAAATCATACAAGTTCATTATTTTAATATTTAAAGACCATGGGGCTGTAGTAGAGACATATAAATATTATACTATACATTTAGAAATTAAATAAAGGCAACATGGCACTATAAAAAAAGTACACTTCAAAGAAGTCCAAGAGTTGAAATACCCATCAGATATCTCCCTGGAAGTGGGTGAATCTTGCAGGGAGATTATCCACAGGGTATACAGTGGGGCTGGTTTTCATTGTAGGAGGTCCATTTAGAAGCTGCCAATCACAATACCTGGCCAGCTCCACTGTAAATATCTTAAGAAGAATTTTTGCAAACTCTTTGCCTACACAGCTTCGAAGGCCTCCTCCAAATGGAATGAAGCTGAACCTGGATGCATCCTCTGGATGAGGCGGTATAAAGCGGTCAGGGTTAAATTCCTCCTTGTTAGTGAAGATATCTGCCACATCATGAGTGTCACAGATACTATAAATAACATTCCAGCCCTTGGGAATCTGGTATCCCTGCAAAAAAAAAAAAAAAAAAATGTATGAAGTCCTAAGAACCGACAAGCTGGACTTGAGCTTGCAAAAACAAAAGGTTATCACGGATACGTTGGGGTTAAGAGCAGAGGGCAAGTGGAAGGATTGATTCATTCCTGAACCGAGCATCCATAGAGCAGGACAGTGTCAAGCAATAAGCCACTACTCAGGGAGGCTGAGGCTGGAAACCACAGCAGAGCAGGCAGGGTGGGGGATGGGGTAGGAGGAGAACTCACATTCAACTCAAAAGTCTTCAAAGCAACCCGAAACCCTCCTGGAACTGGGGGATTCAATCGAAGGGTCTCCTTAATAACACACCCAGTGTATTTCAGTTGCTCCAAAGTTTCCATGTCTAACTTGTTGTCTTGATTGCTCTTGCAAAGTAAGCCCTATTAAAACAGATGCAGAGGGGAATGATTCTTGGGCACTCCAATAAAATCAAGCCAGCTGATGTCAACAGGACTGTTACCTAAACCCAAAGCCTCTGGATGGAAGGGGATAAGTGGGAAATAGCAGCTAATGGCCAGTCCTTTCCTCAGTCCAAAGCCACCACCTATTTTCAGCCAGGGAATGTTGTTCATCAGGTATAAGGGTCATAACCTGTCCCCTCACCAACACTGCCCACCCTGATCAGCTATGGCTCTAGTCACACTATTCATTTTCTTGAATGGGCAAAAATCCACGAAAGGAGAACCTAGTAATCTCCACAGTTCTGCAAAAGGTGGAGGAGGAGCAGGAACACAAGGTCAAATTCTGCCCAAGAGAGATCTTAGCACAAAGAGCTGCCTCTTTAATTCAGGAGGCCAGTCTCTCCCTTGACAGGCCCACCTAGCCTTTGGTCCTTCACTTTCATAGCACTCACTGGAAAGTGGGGGGCGGGGCAGTAGGGGACTGTCCTAGACAAATAGGGAACCTCTAGAATCCTCCTACCTTACTCTTTATCTCTGCTCGGACTTTCTGGAGAACATGTGGGTAGAGTCCTAGGTAAGCGATCAGCGATGTGGCTGCACTGGCTGTGGTTTCATGGCCACCAAAGAGGAGCTCTGTTGAAGATTGCTTTAGTGCCTAAGGATAAAAACAGAAGTTTACTCAGATCAGCGTGCAATTTTACAGCACCGTTACAAAGAACCGAACTGAGACTGCTGTACGGAAGATTACAGGGATAAACGTTTTTGCTCACAGAAAGTCAAAGAACGCAAACAAAATGCAAAACTCCCTTAATTCTACTCTTCCCCGACCTACTGAGTTAAAGCCTTGGTTTTATTAATATCTCCCAACGTTCTTTTAATCTTTGTAAATGAGACTTTCCCTTTGAACCTCGGGACCATTCCAGTTGCGCAACCACCCTCTTCTACAGCTCTCCAGACCTAGCGTCAACCTTCAGGATCCATCTGTGGAGGTCTGGGAGAAGCTGGGCCCCTGACAGGACACTTTCCCAGGAAGTGTTCTGGAAAGCCAGGGACACCCCTCACCCCTGGCATCTTTTGAAATTGCTACTCACCTGCATATCCAGCCGCTCTCCCCTCTCCCACGAGTGTTCAATCAGGAGCTGCAGTGCGTCCTTGCAATCCCCTTGCGGCTCTTGGGCCCGAAGGCGGCGGATCTTGGCGCGAATGTTCTCCTCGATGCGTGCGTGAATGAGGTTCCTCGCCTTCACGCCCTGAGCGCGGAGACAGCATGGCGGTGAGCGGACGGCAGGCTTGCGCGCCCCTAGCTCCAACTTCGCAAAGCGCCCTTACCCGATACAGCCCGCTGAAGGGCACGTCAATGGGGAGAGAGAAGAGATTGCGGGTCATCTCCTCGAAGGCCTCCACCAGCTGCTGCTCGTCCTCTCCGCCGCCGCCCGCCGGACCCGGCTCGCAGCCCAGCAGGATGCGCATGGCGATGCGGAACATGAGGCGCTTCACCTCGGGGTAGACCAGGAGGCCGCGCTCGCCACAGCTTAGCCACTGCTCCAGACAACTGCCCACCTCCTCGGCGATCACCGGCACATAGCACTGGAGTGCCTCACGGTTGAAGGCCTGCATAATCACCTGACCCCCCAGGAGTAGAGAGCTTTACAAACCTCTATCCCCCCCCCTTCCCCGCCTTCCCAAGTACCCTTCCAGGAACCCCCAGCACCTCCAGTCCTACACACGTGCTGGTGGGGAAAGCTAAAGTGGATCTCAAAGAGGTCCTGGTCCCCACCTCATAAGCCTAGCATTCGCCCGGCATTTATTTGTCTGAGCCAAGCCAAGGAATGAGGTCTCCCTGCTAGCCAAGGCGTTGCCACCTCGCCCTCACCTTCTTTCGCTGCTTGTGAGAGGAATCGTGCAGGTTGGAGAGGCAGCCGGCGCCCAGGATGGTGCGAACCGACGCAGGCCAGTGCACCGCTACCAACCGGTGCTCTCCCAGCAAGATGCGCCGCACGTTATCTGCGCCCATCACCCGCACCGTGGGCCGTCCAAACAGATGCGTCTTGTAGATGAAGCCGTATTTCCTGCGCTTCATCTGCAGAAACTTCCTCCGCTGCGAGGGAGGTGGAGGAGAGAGACCCGTAACCCGCGTGAGGGGGCGCCGGGGAGCATCTGGCCTCCGTCTAAGCCCCTCTTCTAGCCGCAGTCGCCTCCCTCGCGAGGACACTTATCCCGGCTTCAGCCCAGGCCCAGAGCTGAGGCGGACTCCCGGGAAGTCCCTTACCTGCAGCACCATCTGCAATGTTTCCCCAAAGAATGGGAAGCCCATGGTCCCGGGGGGCAAAGGGAGGGCGCAGCTGCGGTCGCGGCTGCTCACACAGTACAGGTACCAGAGCTTGGTGGCTGCCAGAAAGAGCAGCAGCGGCAGCACGAAGGTGCAGAGAGCACTGGCCAGCAGCGCCGGGAGCCCCATGACATGCAGCAGTCTCCGCGCCACCTGCCGCCGCCGCCCTCGCTCCGAACCCTGCCGCGCGCCCTCTTTATAGGCCGCCCAGGTTACTGCCCACGTTACCTTGGTCAGACAAATTAGTTCACCCAAAGTTCATCTTTAATTGCGGATCTGGCCCCTAGCTCCTCCTCCCGCGAGGCGCTGCCCAAAATCTTTAACCGTTTGTTCCGCGCCCAGGCAGAGGCGGCGCACTGGCGGCTTCCCTCGGAGCGCGCCTCCTGGGGTGCGGGGCTAGGAACACCGCCTCCCCTATCCCGGGTTTCCGAGCTCCGACTCAGCAGGGAGCGGTTGGGGGCAGGGGAGCGGGTTGTGGATCGTGGTTCCGAGAAGCGGGAATTTGGAGTCCTGGGCTTCCCAGCTGTCTTTCGGTTGTCCCTCGCGCCGGATCGTACCGGCTGTCCCAGCCCGACTTTCATTCACAGGCTTTCATTCACAGGCGCCGCACGGACTTGGAAAGCGCGTTCAGGACTGACCATTCAGTGGACTTGACCCACAGGTTGGGTAAAGGAGATCCCAAACACTTCCTGATCTGTGAGGACCCCAAGAAGATCCCAGGGCTAGGGTTCAAGCCAGAGTCTTGGAGGTCAAGTATGACCAGCAGATCGTGGATTCAGCTTTCTGCAGTGCACCACAAGTAAGCCAGCGCATGAAGTCTTGGAAGTGCTGCCTTAGGATTCAGGGCAAGTAAGCCTTCAGGTCTCTAGGACCCCAGTGCAGCCTTGCACAAGCCCGATTCCCCTGCTCTGAATAAAGCCCAGTGGTGTACTAAAGAGACCAGGGGCTCCAAAGTCAACGCCCAGCTGTAGTAATACCGCCAAGCTGGCCCAATTCCTATGGCACTGGGGCTTGCAATTCCCCCCCCCCCAGCCAGGCAGCCGGGAAGAGGGCCCCCAGCTCAGGCAGATATGGGGAGGAAGGCAGAAGGAGGAAACCCAGGAGTCCTGTTCCGCCTTGGAGTGCCTGAATCTTGGGCAAGCTATCAAGCTTCCTCCTGTCTGTGTCCATTCCTTAGGAAGAAGGCTATTTCCACTGTTTCCATTGTCACTGTGTCTGCACCTCAAGGCAGCTGGGAGTTCCCAAAGGGGGCTTCTGCTTCCAAATGGCTCGTTAGGCTGCATTAATAGAATGGTCGGGTTTCAAGGCTCTCGAACTTTTCTCCAGTCTCCCAGATCCCACCCAATGCAAAGGCACAAACCCTGGTAAGAGGGCTGTTTGGTTCTATGCTTCTGCCACCAGCCATTAGGAACGTTCAGGGACTCCGCACTGGGGAACGAGTCCCAGGGATTGTGTTGAACTTCCATCAGCAGCTCCTGCCGCCAATACCGAGCTCAAGGGAACTGTGTGATGCACACACACGCTCTGGGCTTCCCATGACCTCCCGCCACATCGCTTCAGCCAGTGCCACACACTGCCTTGGTTTGGGCACTGAACTCACCAGCGACGCGGAAAACAAACAGGATGCCGTGTGTTTGTTTAGAACTGAACACTGGCTCTAGCAAGAGCACACTCGCACCCCTTGGGAAGAGTCCATTGAAGATAAAAAAAAAAAAAAAAAAAACTAAAGCTGTTAAATATGTGGCCTCCCAGCGGTGGTCCCCAAACGACACCCATACCCGCAAAGGTCGTGAGGACCCGCACAAACCTAGTGTCTCTCTAAGCCGGGATGCCCATGGGTCGTATTTCGGGGATTCAGTGGTTCCCCATAGCTCTGTTCAGTGTTTCAGAGGCTCTCGGGAGGCGGGCGCTGCCGCTGTCATATCTTGTAAAGATTTGGTTATTGTAAGGACTGTGTACCAGCTTCTGCACCGGCAGGAACGCGGACGGACTGTGCTGGAGGTAATTCTCAGAAATCTCGGCCCGCCCCTTTTTGGAGAGCGCCTCCGGTCGGTGTGCAAAATCGGCCAGCGGGGGCGTGACCTGGGGCACATTCCCAATCCTTTAGCCTGACCCGCCTGTGACCCCTGCAGGCCGGACCGTGACATCCCAGTGAACTCTGCCGGGCCACCCCACCAAGTTCAGCGCACGCTGGGTCACAAGATGAGCCCCGCTAGCGCGCTGGAAATGGCCACAGGGGAAAAAAAGAATACTTAAAAAGTTAAGTTAAAAAATCTAACTGGTCGTCAAGATCCGCGGGGCGCCTGGCGGGAAAACACTAAATGTTAAAAATGCCAGATCATTTAAAAACTTCTTGACGGGGGAGAAGGGGGGTCAATAAATTACCAGCCCAATAAGAACTTTGATCTAGGAACTTCACCGAACTTTATTGGATGGTGGTGGGTGGGGAAGGGGAGGTTGGCTAGCTGAGAAACAAAATGTTTGCCAAACAGTTTTCCTACTGCTAAGGGCTCAGGGCTGTGGGGTCAGGTTTGCGCGCAGTTGTCTCTGCTGTTCTGTTTTTGCTAGAGGAAAGGGGTGGCAGGAATCAGGATGACCAGCACAAGCTCCTGAGCTTTCCCTTCAGCCCCCTTTAGGGATCCATACCTGCTGCTCTTCCCAATGCCAGCTGGAGACTGACCCCTGCCAATGTCACCTCAGATTGGTTCCCTTGCCCAAGTGTCGAAATTTAGATTAACTCTGTGTTAAAAGCCTGTTTTGTTTGTGGTTTGGGTTGTGGTTGTTGGTGTAGCGGTTGTTGTTGTGGTTGTTAGCTTCTCTGTGCTTTTCACCACTGGGCATTCTCCGGGTTTTGTTTCGTTTCGTTTTTGTTTTCCTTGTTTGTTCGTTGTCTGCCTCTTGTCTGTGAACATCAGACGTCCAAGCGGCAAGAACTACAGCTGCTCTTTCCCTAAGAACTCACAGTTGCTAAACCCGGAGCCTATGTGTTCCTCAATAATATGATGCAATGATGGGAAATAAGGGGAAGATTGGAGCCACTCCCGCGTGTTTATAGTTGGTCCAGACCCCAAAGCAAGTAAATAAGTCTCTTTGAACCAGTTTGCCCTGAAAGGCACCTCCCCTATTTGCTTTCTCCCCCAATCAGAATCAACCTTGAAGCAGACAGGGTCTTTTGGCCTCCTCATCCAGATCCAGGTTTCTCAGATGCCCAAGGTGGTAGGTCTGCACCATAATACCTTTGCTCCCCCTGGTGCCTGCAGAGCTCAGGACCAGGCCTTTACTCTGACCAGTTATGGGTGATTAACTTCCCCGTGTAGAGGTTATGGTGGAGTGAACCCCAACAGCTGCTCACCTTCAAGTATCACCTTATGCCCCCCTTGACTTCAGGCGCCAGGATCCACTTTAAGCATAAGATCAGGAGACCACCAATTTCCTCCTGATTCACTACAGGGTTACAGGTTACAGCTTCCCTGGCTCACCAGTTAAGTCCTCTTGCCCAGGAGTGTGGGAATGTGTGTGTGTGGGGGGGGGGGGGGGAGACAGGTTGAAGTGGGCTTTAGGGAAGAGAGGCAGGATGATAATGGCTTTGATTTAAACAGTGGTGGGAATCTCTGGGTTGGAAAGGCCAGACAGTCCTTAAGACAGGCTAGGGATGGCTGGGGAAAGGGAAAGGACTGAGTTCCACAGGTGGCATGGGCTCAGAGGTGGGTGGGAGGGTTGAGTGATGAGAGGGATGCAGGACAGCAGTGGCTCCTCAGGAGGGCCACCGGTCCCTTTGATCCCCTTTCTCCTTGGTGATGGCAAGGAGGCTGAAGCAGCAAACAGAACAACTCTGCAAGCCGATGATGCAGAGATAATCCAAAACCCAGAATCCAGATCCGTGGTCCAGAGGGAAGCATGGGGCTGAGGCTGCCAAGCTTCTAGACCCTCTGAGTACAGGCTACAGTGGGTCCTTCAGGTATGTCTCTGTACCCCACCCCTCTCCACCCCAGGCTCCTGACTCAACTGGCAGAAAATGTTATCTCCTGGCCTTCCTGTTTTGGTACAATTATCTCAAGTCTCTTGTTTATCTCAATCTCCCTCGCAGGGATTCTGTCTCAATCTCCCATGAACCAGACTTAGAGACATCTCCAGAGAACACATTATCTTCTGTATAAATGAGGACATTAAATAAACTCTTTAAGTAGGAATTTTTCTTTTCAAAAATCTCTAGCAGAATCTGCTGATGTTGAGCCAGAATTTCTGCCAAGGCTCAAGAAGCCTGACGGTGTGCCTTTTGGCCAATATCAGAGACTCATCCTGGTATCTCTGCTAACTTAAAAAAAGTTGCAAATTCTCCTCCGGTTTGATATGTACACCCAACCACCACCGCCAGGGCCACACATCCAAATTCCTTGGCGGACTTGTCACAGGAAGGTGAAGCCAGGTTTCATCTAGTGGAGAGAGGTTCTCTCTACCTCTGGCTCCTTGAGATCTTGGGAAATGCCTACAAAGGTGCGCTCCTTCCCCCAAGCCCAGAACTTCTCCAATGCAGGGGCCATGGCTCAGTCTACTACTCCTTCCATTCTAGCACAGAATCGTCCCGTGAGCATTTGTTAAACCCACGACTCCGTGAACGTGCGCGCGATGCGGACCTAGGGCGCTGAAGATGGGCAACGCTGGGTGTGCGCCGCAGCCACGGGGGCAAGTCAAGGCTAGAGGAGCGGCGAGTCAGAGGTGTAACCCATCCCCCGAACCCAAAGTCACGAGAGGGTGAAAAAAGAGTCGCAGCCCGTCCACTGGATGCACGATGGGCACCGTCTGCATGACCGGGAAGGCAGGTGTGGCCAGCTCCCAGCGCGCGGTGCGCACCAGTTCCACGGCGAGCAGCTGCAGCACTGCCTGCGCTAGCTCCTGGCCCAGGCAGCTGCGCGCGCCGCCGCCAAACGGGATGTAATGGAAGCGACCGCAGGAGCCCCGCGGCGCGTCCTCACTCTCCACGCCAAAGCGCTCGGGATCGAAGCCCTCGGGCGGGCTACGGTACACAGCAGCTGTCTCGTGCGTGTCTCGGATGCTATACATCACGCTCCAGCCTTTGGGGATCTGGTAGCCCTGAGAAGTGAGGGGGCCCGTCTTGATCGCTAAACACTGGGAAGTGGCCAGAGCCAATCTCCCCACCCACCCAGACACACCAAACATACCTCCAGGGTCCTGTGATTAACAAACCCGGAAGATAAAAGATCTGCTTTGCAGTTTCAGTGCCTTCACTAGTGAGCTGTAAGATCTTAGACTGCTTGCGCCCCCGCCCCCAATTTCTTAGTTGAGAAAGTAGAAATGAAAAATATCCACGTTGTTGGGAGAATTTCAAAAGGAGATTGGTACACATTAGTGCCCATGAAATTGAATATTATGAGTTTGTTGTCTTTCTTTTCCTGTTTTCTTCTGACACCGGAGACTTAATGTTGTAAGACTGTAGCTACCAGCTGCCTGAGCTGAAGCAGGGAACTGTCGCTCCTCTGGGACAGTTCAATTATAAAATTCTTTGCATTTAACTGAAGACTTCCCCGCCTTCCCATTCACCTCTACACAATAACACGACCTCGTGGTTACACTTTAGAAGATGCACTCCCTCTCTGCCCACTCCCACCCTCCCAACCATCCTGCCCCCCCTTCCCCCCTGCTAGGGTATTGCAAACCCAGGGCCTCATTCACACTAGGAAAGAGCCCCTGCCACTGACCTACATTCCCAGCCCCACTTAGGCTTTTTCATGTGTCTTCCAATCCCTGAACTACCAAGCCACCTGTCCCTCAAAAGCTTGCAGTTTTCTGAAGGCCGGGAAGGGTCATTACTGTTCAGATTCTCACTAGGGGGAAAGAGCACACAGGAATCACCCTAGAGTGCTCTTTCTCTCTAGTCCTGTTTCCCGGTCTGGAGGAGTAGGACCTTCCCTGTGCTCCCCCTACAGCCCTGGAAGCTGCCCATCCTCGGCTCCTCTCCCTGTTTACTGGGCACACCAGCACTGCAGCATCAAGCACCCAAGTCACTTTTGAGTACCAGCCTTTGGCTGGCAGCTCCCCCTCTGCAGCACACTCTCCTCCTTCCAGCCCCTTGACTGGCATCACCCTACACTAGGGATCTCCTTGTTTCACTCCATGGTCTTGGTCCCTCCCTCTCTGCATGGACCCCCCTTCAACGTGCCCCCCATTCAGGCCATGCAGGCAGAGACCCTCAAGTTCTGCAGTGTGAAGTCCCCACAGTCCCCAAAGCAGCCAGTTCATCAAATACCCCCAGCCTTGTGTGGAGTATCAGAGCTGGGAAAAAAAAAAAAACAAACAAACAACAACAAAAAACCCAACGTCCTCCCAGAAGGTAAATTGAGACCCACAGTAAAGGGAGAACCATCCAAGTTATTCTCAGATGTAGCCAGGCCTAGTTCTTAACCTTGTCCAGCCAAGGGCAGCCTGATGAAACAATTAAGATTTTGTTCTTTGTATTAAGGCTGTTGCATTTCCCAGGTATAAGGCCTAAGCACGAGCCCTGGGCAGGCAACGATGACTGTTCTTTAGTCTTGGGACGAACTAAAGAACTAGTGCCCCGCCTTCGCTTTCCAGCCACACACACTGGCTGCAAGGAGTGCAGCTCAGAGAAAAATGTTTGCGTTCTGGAACTCGGCTCTAATTG